AATTTTATTAACTTATATGAGTATTCCTACAAATAGATTCGTTAAGAGTCTTTTTTCAAAGATGGCCTAAAAATACCAAAGTTAAAATGAATTCAGTAAAATCCGTTACTCTAAATGGATCATCTTTCTCTTAAGAAAATTCTACAAAATTCGTTCAAATTCATTTAAATCGTCGTTTAGTTTGAAATAACGATATCAAAGAGAAGAAACATTCACTAAATATCAAAATGAGCTTCGAATATTCTGAGGAGATTCAAGCAACTCAAAGAAAAGAAATCCCACATAATCAACAGTTCCAAACAAAAATTTTTAACGCTCTTTTGATTACAAATCAATATAAATCAACTTAAGAAGCCTAGACATTAAGGAAGGTATCAAGTGACTTTGTGGAAGATATCCAAACGGGCTAATGAATCATTCAAAAGACACACCAATATGTTTAATAGATGATACCAATAGAACTAGTGGACTTAAAATGTATAATGTACTAATTTTCCTTACACCACCATATACCTCTACTTTAATGTACTACATTTTATAGGTAAGATAAACATTATAAGCATCATTAATATACTAAATTATATAGCTACACTAATGAGTATAGATATTTCAATAAAATAATATTTGATAACTATGTTATAAAATAAACATAATTATTTACGAGAATATAATAGCATGATATAAAATCAGGAAATGTGTAATCAAATCTATAATTTTGTTTTAATTAATCATCAATATTTTTTTTTGAAAGGTAATTTTAATCCTTAAAAACTTTTTATTCATTGTCTGATATTCCTATGAATTTCAGTGTCTTCTTTGAATTCAATCTTATCGCCTTAACTGTCCGAAAATTTCTTTATAAGAATCTACAGGAAAACATTTTTAAAGAATTAGTCGCTTTCGAGATAAAGTTTGAAATGTATTAAATCAAATACTGGAAATAATGAGAAATAACTAAATATTAATACAAACGATAATACATATTATATTTTCATGAAATATAAAATAATGAAAAGCTCTGAAAAGCTCCCAAAATACTTTCAAATGATCTATAAAAATCTCGAAATAATATTACTATTTTTTGTAGAAAATGTTATCAGTTAAAAAGACATGTTTCTTTAAAACTAGAAATGATCGCTTATAAGATTTGAACTTAATCTACAAAATTAATTTTTAAAAATGTTTGAATTATCTTGTATATAGAATCCATCAGTTACATAAAGTATGATCAAAATCCTCGTTTTGTCTAATCTTAAAAGGAAGATTAAACCTATGTTAATATGTGGATATTAAAAGATGTTTATTAAGACAATTATCAACTTCCTCAAATAATGGATTCACAGTCGACTGCACTACAACTATAAATTAAAGATAATTTAAATTCTATTTAAATTACGATCATTTTAGTAATAAACTAAAATATAACTATTATGCTTATTATAAAATATGAATTTAAAACCAAGAAAGAAAACAAGTCACCAAAATTTGTCTACTATTTTGATACATAAACTTAATAGCACGTGACCATTGAAACATATATTTATTTATTTAATGATGATCTTCACATTGAGTCTGCAACAACATTGTCTGGATTTGTGCATAGGAAACCTACAAGAAGATCATTAACATTTCGATTGTGAGTTGTACAGCACCTATTTAGGTGACTAAAATCACATAATTTAAAGCACAGACAAACTCATGAATTCTTCAAAATGTTTTAAATTTTATAAACTTTCAAAATAACAATAACAAAATTTATACACAATTTTTTATTGAGATTAGCAAAAGACTATTCATTATTGAATATTTTGTTAAATGTTAGTTTTTTCAAGCATTTTATGCAAATTTCCAATGGCCGGGGAACCACCAGAAATCAGAAAGAGATTTAAATATATATAAAATAAATAATTTACTGCTTTCAATATGCTTCACATAACAAAACAATGACCCCAACATAAAAAATTAAATTAATTTTTTAAAGAAATTGGCCAAAAGCAAAATGTAAAGGCGAAATACTTAAAAAGGTCAAACTTGTGCTGAATTAACGAATTTATTGATAACAAAGCGAATACAATTTTTTCGCGATCACTTTAAAATCCGTTGAAAACACTAGCACTCGCACAGAGAAGGCACTAATGGAAAAACACAAAACTTGTAATGATGAATCTTGGTTTAAATTATTGAATGAAGAAGCAATTTTAACTGATTGTCTTGCCGATTATATGTTTAATTATGCTGGAAAACCCAGCTAATTTTTAGCCACTTCTTTAACCTAATAGCAAATGTATGGTTTAGGAGATGGACAGATGTACAGATACCAATAGTGTAGATAATATAATTAGATATACTCACTTAAGTTTCAACAGTAAAACGTTCGGACTTGAATGAAAATATAAACGAAAAAATTTCTTTTAACAATACTGAAGAGATAGATAAATTTTAATGGTTATTTTACTTCACTGTACCAAAAGTTTCTGTATGGATACTAGTTCAATTAAAAAAATAATCATTTTAAATAACTAAAAGCATTTTCTTTATCATAATATTTAATAAAAATTTATCATAAATCTATTACATATTACTAATTAAGTAAAATTTTATATGTAATTATTTTTCCTTAAATGAGCAACAACAGAGTAGCGTTAGATTTTACTTGCGAAAATTGTTACTTGATAGTCATAGAAGGATGAAAATATTAATATTAATAATAATATAATAATAATAATATATAATATTAATAAATATTAACATTAATTTTAGTCTTATATTGAAACCTTTAGAATATATACTCGTATCATATATAAAACTTTTTAATTACATTTTTTGAAGATATGTTCTTATAACATATAATAATAAAACCAATTTTATAAAACAAGTATAAGATAGTTTAAATTCATAAATGACTTACTTTTTCGGTAAAAATTAAAAAAACCAGTAGTAATTAGTTAAATCTACATACCAGACATGAACAAATAAATAGAGAATCTAATATTAAAATAATTAGATTGAAGATCTATTTCTATCACAACAGCTGGTAATTATTATTAAACATAACAATCTCCCACCGCTATATAAAACTGCGCTATATTTAGTAACTTATCTCATCAGCATATCAGCCATTTAGAATAATATTATCCAATCATTAACGTTGTAGTCTATTTCGTATTCAAATTGATTCCTATTTTTTGACAATCGTTACTTATTTCTTGCTATTGCTTTTGTTTTTTTTATATACTAATGTCGTTTATATTATCAAAATTATGCTACGTCGGAAAATAACTTTAGGTTCATTTCAAAATTTAAAAAAAGTGGAATATCTATATGTCAAACATTTTTTGCTTTGAGTGCTTGAAGAAAAGTTTTTATTTCTAGTGTTTAGTCGATCAGAAAGTTCTGGATTGGATTTATATATAACGAATATATTTTAAAAACAGACATGCATTAATAAAACTTTAATTTATCTGAAGCCAAATTGACTCATTGTTCAATTACAAACATAAGCAGTTATTTTTGCAAATTTAACTGATTTTCACTTTTTGCAATGTTTTGTCTGGTGGAAGTTTATGCAAATCTGTTAACATAAATTGGTCAGCAAACGGGTTGACAATTATATAGAATTTATCATTCATAAATGGTTTTTTTTTAAATTAAATCAAATTTTGCAAAAAATTAAAGACTAAAATGAAGACTCTGTTCAAAATTTGCATAATTAAAATGTATCTAATTTCAGTTCATACAAAACTATTCAAAAAAAACTCCAAATTGAATTCGAAGTATATACAAAATACTTTGTTTCAGCTTGTGTTTGTGGATAGAAAAGAAAAAGACGACTAGAGTTACCAAGTTTCATTTATTTCATTTATTTATTTCATTTAAAATTTTTACTCAAACTGAAAACTAATTGCTTGGGAGTGAACGTTCTGGAATCAAAATTTTTTTTCTTATATAAAAAGAGAATAGCATTTAAAAAAAGATAATTGATCAGTAATGTTATAGCTAACTTTAGTTTTCCAAATAAATTTAGTTACAATTCTGAAAAGTATAATATTCAATAAAGCTTTCAGTTTAATACAGAGTACATATATGTGTATATAAGCTATATATAATATCAAAAGCTCTCACATAACAGTTCTATGAGAACCTGTTATTTGCGTTATTTTGATTTCTTACATTTTGAGCATTTCATTTATTAATATAAATCTATAGAAATTGTATAAATTCATAACAAAATATAAAGTGATTTTTATACATGTGACATATATTCTTTAATAATAAAATTCTATCGAAATAAGTATTAATAATTGGAATTATTTCTACGAAAATATTAAATTTTTAAATGCTCTTGGCAACACTCAAATGAATGCAAGTCATTAAGCTTAAAATGCTAATGGGATGATATATAATACATACGTATACATACGCAAGAAATTTGGACAGCGAATTGGAATCGTTTTTAAATACATGTAACCTAATCATATTGAAATGCAGGAAATTTACGACTTAGATATCTCTTTTACCACTATTTTTAATTAAGCGTTTAATTTGTTAACGAACTAGCAAAGCGCAGAAAGAAATGGCGTATGAAGTAGGCGGGACTTCAAGGTATGAACATAAACTAGCAGGAAAAAAACATCAATGCTCCAACTACCATAACTAACAGCAGCTTGACAGCAAGTTTCCATGCTTTCTCCACGGTCTGAGAAGAAAAGGTTTGACACAGCAAATTAATTAATTTTAATTATGAACCTGCGGAATAACAAGTGTTTGATAATAAAACCCAAAATTACTTATTTTATTAACTAGCAATGGTTAAGTGGGTCAAATATACCCAAGAAGTCGCATCATACATCGTCAAAGCTACTTATTTCAAGTGATTTTCAAGTGAATAATATTACTGCAAACACCAATCGACGAACTGCTTAATTGACCAAAAAGCTCAAAATAGTAAAATTTTTCCTTTTTAACATACACATTTCAAATAAAAAATAATTGTAACTCACCTGTGAAGTTGCTGCGTCCAAAATAACATAAACTAGCAATATGATTTCCTTCTCATCAGAACCTAGGCCAGGTCCATTTTGTCCGCATGTCGCCACATAAAGCGATACAATATGCTCCGGTACTTGCATTTTGTGAAATATTATGTCTTGCAGTCTTTTTACTTCGCCTAACTTGTCTCTTGTCTCTTGTCGAACTAAAAGCACAATGTACTTCTTGTACTCATGTACGTACAATGTTTATTTGTTTTCTTATATTTTTATTTTAATTTTTGGTAAGGTAATTGCGATTTTGTCATTTGCCGTGCTACTTTGCGTTGAAAGTAAATCTAAAATTAAAAAATTGAAGATTTAAAACAATGATTAAGTAATATAATTAATAAGGTAATAAGGTAAACAATAAAATTATTTCATAATTTCCCATAAAATTATTACGAGTTTCAGTCGTGGTATCAAGAGACCACAGCAAATATTGCAATAATCTTAGATAAACAAATAGGTGGAATTTTTTTAGTTAATCTGAAACTGAATTCTGATAAGATTCTTTTAATGTTAGTTAATACATGAAGCAAAAAAGTTATTTTAAAAATTTTCTAGTCACGTTTGACCATTGAACATACTGAAAATCATTATATATTTAACTTAATTGCACGAGATTTACATGAACTTTGAAGTATTCAACTTAAAACGTATGAATAGGAACAAAAATATTTAAAATAAATTTATTTCAGTATACTCATATCAGTATGCAGTTAGATTGATATAAGAGCCCGTACTGGGAGTCACATATTTTTAACAAATAACAAACAAATAGGTTAGGTTAGGTTGTACCGGCAATCCCTAGTGGATCCCCTTAGACCTATTAGCCCATTTTGTTACCATATATATATATGGTTTAAAACCACCTAGAACCTTTGGTGAAGCTTAAAATGCTACTTAGTGCCAGGTCCAGTAATTGGTCAAGATCCTCAAGAAAGGGGACTCCTAAAGTACTGAGTCGCCGCCGTGCATGAGCTTGGCAAAAACATAGTAATTGAGAGGCACTGTCATCGTTTTCCCCACAGCTACGAGAGATTAAAGACTGTTATCTCTACGGCATATCTCAACGAGAATTTTGGATTTCCTAATAAACAAATAATATATAAGAAAATTCGACTCCTAATACTTTTTGCATTGACCGCACTGAAGTACTATAAGTAATGCTAAACATCGAATCTGTTCATAACTATTATTGACTGAAATTGTAACCAATAAGACATTTTAATTCGTGTTGTTAAAAAAATAAGTAAAATCTACGCTATATTTACTTTGGAACTTTGAAATTAAATATCTTTCTGAGTTTATATTGAAGATTTCATATATAATCGGACTCTCTATAACGAACTTTGTAACAATATAGCAAAGACTCTATAGAGAAGATTTTTCAGACGTTTTCATATTAAATAACTTCTATACACTGCATTTATTCAAAAGCAAATTAATAAAATATAACCACTTTTGATTATTATATAGATAAAGACAATGGCACCTATTTTTAGTCCTGTTTTTGGATCATATGCATTAGGTTATAAAAATTTTGCAACAAGTAACAAATAGTTGAACAATCTGAGATTCCTCTAAAACAGAAACTTTTGCCAATTCCGACAACTTTTTTATAGAGAAATCTGACTAAATGTAAAATCAATACAGGGATACAAAATGTTAACCACTACTTTTTTTTACTAAATCGTACATAATGTATTTTATCAGCTTATCGACTTTTTAAGTTGGATTTCCTCCTAAATTATATTGCCAATTTTATGACAAAAACAGAATTTCTATATCATGAAGATTCATTAACACTGGGTAGCTATTAATACTTATGCATAATAATTCTCTTTATAAATATTTAGAAGACATTTTGCATACTTAAGCAGTATTTTTACAAGAGAACTGCTTCGCATAATATGAACATATTATTATTGATGAATTTAATTTGACTGTACTATTAGTTATGATAGATTGAATTCATATTCTAGTTATGCAAACTCTTAAAATCTACTTTTGTAATTTCTTCCCCTTTCGGAAAAGATATGTTATTATTTGATCAATGTCACGAAACTCGTAATCATATGAGTTTTCCCTTTACTTATATATATACAATGGCAGCCAAATGCATATGACAGATACCGTTTACAGCGATTATTATACATTTGTATCACTATTGGAATTATGACTCCTTAAGTGTGACTTGAGCCTTTATCATATAGTTTTGTTAATATAAATAAAAATCTGATACTTGAATTCGATATTGAATTTATGTAATAAAAACCCTGACAAAAATATTATTTTAATTCTTCTTTGTCATATTTACAAAAATATTATTGTAGTAATAATATTATTATTTACCTCCGAAGAGTTTTAAAAAAACCTAAAGTTCATGACTTTGTTTATGATGAATTATACTATGGAATTATTTTAAATTGTCAATTAAATTAAGAATTGAAGGAACTGTTTAAAATTCAGACAAAATTTCTACCACCAACCAATAATGCTGAAACGCCCAGTTGATGGTGGAAGAGCAAACGTTAACTACCAAAGCATTAAAGTCTAGTTTTAAAATTTTTAGATGCTTTTCAGTAAAAGAAATAAAAAGAATGTTATGTAATACTTCAGTACTCTTACTTTTTTAGATATACCTATATCCATCCAAATGCTTTTAACTCAATTGTATTATTTTTAAATAAAGAAAGGAAATCACTTTGTAATTTTAACCTTTCGCACAAAAAACATTGAAAATACAAAAAGTACAACTGAAAAACCAAATTTTTAATAAATACTTTTATGATGTTTTGTCAAAATTCATAGATGTTTCTGAAATATTAAAACTATATTAAAATTCAAAAAATTTAATGGGGAAGGGTAATTAAAAGAGTAAATATAAGGCTAAGTACTAACTGACTACGTAAATACATTAAGACCGAAAAGTTTTCGGAAATTCTCATTTAAAATTCGCGCGCTGTATATTTTTCGATATTTTAAGTTTATGTAGTTTGGCAGCAATTAAGGACAATTACTATGCCAAAAATGAGCGCGATCTGTCAGACAGTTCGTTTACGGCAGCTGTTGAAACCAGTTCACCTCAGTAGTGCGTTGCGAAAAAAACAATGGAAAAAAATATTGAACAAAGAGTTTGCATCAAATTTTGTGTTTCGAACGAAATTTCGTGTGCAGAATCGTTGCGAATGCTACAAAAGGCTTATGGGGAATCAGTTTTATCGAAAACTCAAGTTTATGAGTGGTACAAAGCCTTTCAGGACGGTCGTACGACCGTCGAAGACATTTCGCAACGCACTACTGAGGTGAACTGGTTTCAACAGCTGCCGTAAACGAACTGTCTGACAGATCGAGCTCATTTTTGGCATAGTAATTAAGGACAGTGCTGCCAAACTACATAAACTTAAAATATCGAAAAATATACAGCGCGCGAATTTTAAATGAGAATTTCCGAAAACTTTTCAGTCTTAATGTATGTGTGTGAACTGTAATAACTTTTTCAAGAAAATGTAATGATAAAAGCTATGAAAGGCTAATCAAATAATTACTGGTTTTAAAAAACCACGTCGCATGCCCTCCTCTTCCGGTCCTCGCAACGTATATAATATTTAGTCGACTAGACGTTCAACCAACCATCCAATCAACTCTTCTCAACAGATTTATATTACGCGAACTAAATATAATATAAATTTTTGACGTTTGTGCGATGTCTAAAGGTCAGCAGGTGCGCATGGGTTAATCGAGCACTCACAAGCAACAAATATTTACAACTACAGATATAACATCAAGACGCATACAGATACAAATGCAAGCAGCCATTAAGCAATTAAAAATAAGAACAGCTTAAACGATAATTTAGACACATTAAAACTGACAATTCAAGTTAACTGAAATACATTTTGAGTTCAATTTTGGCACACACTTTTATTCTTAGTAACTTCTATTTAGAAATTTTAGTATACATACATTTAAAAATTCCACTATAAAATAAACCGATCATCTACTTCAATATCAATATTAATATTATCAATATTATTAATATGTGAGCTAGAAACAATCGCAGATGTATGGCTGAACACACCGTATAAAATATTCACCAATATTTCACATTAAAGAGAAAAGATCCTTGCAGAAAAATGTACGAAATGTACGTGTTTAGATGCGAGAACTCGACATATTATGAAAATGCATAATTCCTAAAATTTCTGAAAAATACTATGAATGCGGGGTGTGTCTACATATATTTTTTAAAAGCATCCAGAAAATTTTTTACAATATTCATAGAAATAAATTGAATATTATTCTGGAATGCATACCACAAAAACACACACCACCTGTAAATCTAAAATTACGGAAGCATATTTGAAAGTATTCATATAAAAAAAAAATCAAAATTCACGAAGACGTAAAATAAAAAGTGTTAAATAAACTGAAGTTGGACTTCTTTATATATATAATTTATTACTGACAGTTAAAGGTTGGACAAAATTATTGTTACTGAACGCAATTAAACATTATTATAAAATATTTTTTATTCACTTCAAGACAAATTTGCTACAAAAGTGCAATTAAAACGGTCATTGGTCAAGGAGTACGGCATATAGAACTTTAGATAGATTTTTACAGAAATTCTTTCAATACATGTTTATATGTATTTATAGGTGATAAATGGATTTTGTTTATTTTTGCAACACAATTGCTTGAATATTTCAACTGAAGGGTATTTTATTTATTTTGATTTTATTAAAATTAATTACAAAATATAAAATCTATAGGAATCTATAGGATAGGAAAAACAAGCGCTAGCTGCCAGGGCCTGCGGCTCTGATGTTATAAATTAAATTTTATTGACTAGATTATAGGCTTAAATATATAAGTATTTTTTTAACCGTAATTGTATTTAATAGGCTGGTAGATAGAATGTTTGGAAAGATATTACTACGAATAGAATTAAACGAAAGGCAATCGGTAAGTATATGATCTATGGTTGGTATGCTATAACAAAATAAACAATTGGACAACTGATCACCACTAAAAAGCTGTTCATAAAAAGCCTTTGAATGTCCCATACGCAATCGGATAAACTGGAAGGTAATAGACAATATTTAATAAAAATAAAATAACAATGTAAAATCTGTAATTTGAATTTTGTTTTAAATAAGATTTAATTAACAAAAAATGAAATATTACCCAAAAATTAAATATCTAAAAATTTAAGTAATTAAAAATCACTTAAATTATTTCAAATTGTAAATAATACTAACAAGCAAAGAAAACTTTAAGCTAAAGTTGA